CACTAATTAGCGTACAACACCGATCTGCGTTTATTCAAGAATGACGGGTATTTATACAGTGTTTGGTATCGATGTGGGGGGGTACAATGGTCGCATTCCATTTATTGTTATCTGATTGCTGACCGGGCCTTATTACGATCGATATTGGTCGTATTCTTAGATGGCCACCCATTGTTATCCTGTCGCCAACCGGAAATGGAAATGATAAGGGCCTCATCACACAGGTAACTTGATTCTTGATGATCTGGTTAATAATCTTTTATTCAGAGATAATTCGTTGATGAAACAATTATCGTTTTACTTCGGATAATCCCGAAAAATTAACTGAAATTATGTTATACGGATTGAAACTGCGTGTGATCTACGTACGGGAAGCGTAGCGGAGTTTCAAAGAGCAGCTTCCGTGCACAGATGCCGCCTGCGTCACGTTTTGACTGGTGAATCAATTACATTTGCTGAAATTTATTTCTCAGACTACGTGAAATGCTAACGTAGTATCTGCATGTAAGAAGATAAAGGAAGAATACAAGTCTATGAAACGTCTTATGAAAGGAAGAGAACTTATGTTCTTAATTAATACTTTTTGGTTAGAAAAAAAATGTCCTTCCAAGGAAATATAATTTCATTTTTTGTTCTGTATACCTTAAGGTAAACTTTAAGCATTTCTGAGTGTCATTATTAATAGAAATAAGTTAAGATTTGCTAATACAATAGGCTGGTACTTTTAATAAATATTCAAAATAAAGTATTATTAGTATATATATTCAAAATAAAGTATCATTAGTATAATAAAGTATCAGAGAACTTTGTTCACACTCACTTTTCATATTTGATTTACATTGTTCTCGTTATTTCATCAGGAACAGAATATAATTATGCAAAAATTACACAGCTGTTACTAGTTGCAGTTGATTAACGAGCCAGTGGGGTTTTTGAAAAGTAACAATATTCCTGCAATTGCTTTCCTAAATCCTCCCTGATAATCATGACTCGAAGATCAAGATGACTTGACAGCTAGTTTTATAACTGAAGAATTGCCAATTCTCGATTGTACCATTTTTATGTATACCCATCGTGGGTATACATCAGTATTAGTTACTATTGTTGCACTATAATGAAACGACGTGTCACAGAAATATTACTACTCATGCAACATTGTGAAGTTTCTTCTTTTCCATCCAGTGGAAAATTGTCTCGATGCGAAGAAATTAACTAAGACTGGGTTCACAAGACAATTATCTTAAGGAAATAAAAAGAAAGAGGCCCATTATTTTGAATATCACGGAACAAGAAATTAATATTGGCATGGCACGACGAGAATTCAAGGGGGAATTCAAGTTGAAGGGAAGACAAAGTGTATAACTGCTTTACAGCTTCAAATGAATTTTTTGCAGAAATACAAAGCGATGAACACGCGAGTGGAGCATAAATCGGGGGAGGAGTTGGTGAACATAATCAGCGAGAACGTCGGCAGGATGCTCCGAAGGAAGATGGATGCGGTGACTTGCATCCGGATGGCGGCCGAGGAACACGCGGAGAATTGGGATAACAACGAGGAGGGGAACTTCACTTACGTTTCCGGGAAGTATAGTCCAGTGACGATGGACGAGAAGCCGCCACAGATCCCGTCCAACATGGAGAAAAACGTCGGCGCATACAGGTTCACAGAAAATTGCGCCTGATCAATTTAGGTTTTTACGGTTGAACGAGGCGAGGATTTATTTACTTCGATTCTCACTCTCTTCGCTTGTTCAGTGAAACATATTCATCCAAAAAAATGTTATCAGTTGTTCTGTAAACATTTATTAATTATGTTGCACACGTACGAAATACGTACGCGCGTAATTCATATCGAAGCATTTTGATTAGTGGTATCGGATGGAATTAGGCTGGAGAAGCTTGATACGTCTTCGGCATCGATTCGTAGGTGAAACGCTCGAGCCACCGAATTGGGTCTAGCATTCTGTCTTGGTCTGAATAGCTCGACGATAGGTCGAAGAAATTAATGGCATTTGCTCGGAAAGCATAAAATTAAATTAAACTTTTTCTCTTTTTTTTTTTTTTAATCATAAAACACAGATAACATGATTATTGAAAACATTTGCAGAGTGATAGAGTTAACGGCGGATTCACATTTCTACAACATACCGGTGAATACGAGTTTTTCGTCGGTGCATATACCTACAAACGTGTACGACATGTCGCCAGCGGTGGCCGAGGATATTAAGAAAACCGAGATCCTCGACGACACTTTCCGGCAAAACTACGAGTCAGATCCGGCCTTGTCTTGGCAGTACTTCGGCTCTGTCACGGGAATGTTGAGGCAATATCCTGCCATGCAGTGGAGAACGGATGCTATGCAGAATGATGAAGAGATAGGGCAAGAAGAAAAAAAGGATAAGGATGATGGGGGTGAAGAAGAAGCTGACACTTACGACTGTAGAGTACGCAGTTGGTTCATCGAAGCAGCGACCTGCAGCAAGGACATGGTAATCCTGATGGATACCAGCGGCAGCATGACGGGCATGGGGAAAACTATTGGTGAATGGAGTCATTAATATTTCAACAAATTACTCATCGCAATCGTAGGATATGATATTACTGTATTAACTTTGATTAAGTCTTCAATTTTATAACTCTACTTTTACATGCACGCGTTATTGTGTGCGCCTGCATGTATTAGTAGAGTTTGAAATTTGTAACAATCTGTCTGGCGTGACCGCGAAATATGTGTTAGAATTACAGTTAGAGGACAGACTTGCGGTTGTTCTGTGTAAACTGTAATGCGCGTTTGGAATGCACCGCGAATCTGAGGTTACACGTGCATTATTCAGGGAAGACGGTACGTCGATGCAATTGTATCCCGTAAATCTTCACGAAAGTTTACACAATATCTTCATTCCTGCTGTGATATGACTCAAAGTAAAACAATTGTTTCAGCAATGCGAAATTAACGTCACTCCAATCTTTCTTTCTTTCTTTTTTTAATTGTAAATGAAAGTGCTTATCCCTTTGTAAAATATCTTTTCAGCAAGGACCACTGTGAACGTAATACTGGACACTCTTTCGAATAACGACTTCGTGACTGTATTGAGCTACACAAATGAGACGTACGACGTGGTGCCTTGCTTCAAGGACATGTTAATCCAAGCCACTCCAGAGAACGTGGACACTTTCAAAAAAGCTATAATAGGTGTCAAAACAGAGGGTCTCGCTAATCTCACAGAGGCATTCTCCAGAGCCTTCAGTCTCCTAAGCACATACAGGGAGACACGCGGATGTGGTATTAATACACCGTGCAATCAGCTAATTATGCTCGTCACCGACGGCGTTCCTGGAAATCTGACAGAGGTTAATCGATACCTATTCACAAGAAATTACCTCCTTTCTTTTCTCTAGTAAAAGTATAGGTTGTATGTCTGATATTCTTTAATTAGATAGGATCTGATATCTTAAAAGAAATGATTTTATCTAACGAGATAATTATGCCTCAACAGATAATTGAGCCTTGATAATAATAATGGAAACAATTTTAGGGAATCTACATATACTACTATACTTCAACAGATATATTATGCTTCACATATAATATGCTTCAACAGATAATTAAGTCTTAATGACACAATGGAAACAAGTTTTAACATATATCACATATATAGTATATGTACAGTTTAACCATTTTTCTGTCTACATCTATTTGAACATTATTATTCATAAGACAGAAAACAATTCCTCCAATTAAGTGCTTCATCGTACAAAGGACAATGTCTTCTGCAGATCATTTTACGTGTCACTTTTAAATCATGCTTATAATAATTCGTTTTATTTGAATTACGGTTCTATAAAACTTATATTATCGATCGTGCTATCGCTGTCGCCGCGAGACCGCGCTAAAATTACGCCAACTGTAAGTAGATTTGACGAGCGTGATTTCTACCGGAAAGAAAGGTCGCGTTTCAACCTCTATCCTCTCGGCGAGTAGCTCTTCAGTTTTATGAGATCCCACTCGAACCGGCGAGAATCATAGCGATCTCTGTCTTTCCATCTCCACCTCTCTTTCTTCTTTTCCACTCCTTTCATCTCTCTCTCGTCTTCTTTTCTTTCCCTCGTCTCGTCTCCTTTCCACCTCTTTCCCCCTTTTCCTACTGCCTCGTCGCTCTTCTCTCTCGCGTTTGTTCTGCCTTCTTACTCCTCTTACGTATCTCTTACGTAGTTATCCACATTACGTATACCGACTGCTTTCTTCGCCACAGCCGTCTCCTTATCGCTCTTGCCAGCGCATCGTTTAGAAAACGCATCATCGACGATAACGTCATCACGTGGCATTCCGAATGCACTGTGAAATTTTATGGCCACCAATCATTAGAGCACGCTGCTTTCGAATGACCCTTTTTTTTTCAATTCCCCCATTATCCTTACCGTCAATCTTTGTTTTCTCCTCGAATTTTACATATTTCGTTCGTCAGTTTTAGCAACTATGTATAATCTGTATGAATTTCGTTCAGGTATTCAGAACGTGGAACTGGCGGGACAATGACACTCACATACCCGTACGAGTGTTCACGTATCTTTTGGGAAAGGAAGTAACCAAAGTTCGCGAAATCCAATGGATGGCCTGCCTAAATCGCGGTTATTACACGCACGTTCACACGCTGGAAGAGGTTCGGGAACAGGTGTTGAAATATATACCCGTAGTCGCACGGCCCATGGTTCTCCAGGAAGTAATACACCCTGTCGTTTGGACTCATGCTTATGCAGACATTACGGTGAGACAATCACTAAATTGTGTAATATATAAGTAACAGATGCAATGTATAATTTGTAACCATCATTGCATAACCATAATTGATCTGCAAGTGATTCAGAAATTATCAAAATTACAGCAACGTAGCTGCTAGATAATTTTAGGCATTCGAAGGAAACAAAACATTTGGATAGCTTAACGATCTGTGGATAAAAAGAAAGGGTATCCGTGGTATCACTGTTTCCTCTTTGTGCTTTTCACACTTTGTATACATATATATAGTGTCCTGAATTCTGTGAACCTTTCTGACTCGCCTTCCGTCACTAGAATCCAGCACTCGCCACTTGGTTGTGGCTGGTGATGCAGCACAAGGAGCAACGATCACGGCTTCAGAATCTTCTGAAAGGGAAACGTCTGGGCTTGCGAGTAAATGAGGACGATATCTACATACAGCAGGTTCAAAGAAAGCAACAATCACCCCTAGTAGCTTGAAAGCTGCCTTATCGTGCTCGATGCGCTGTCTCCCTCCTGGCATTTTTTAGTTGAATGTAGAAAACAAATAGTAGACAAACGTATCGTCCAAATAGATGAATCTGGACGAATCCTGCACAATAATTATGACCAGCCAGACACTTTTATTTTTATATTTTTTTTCTTTTTTTAGTTTTAATCTTGCTCCTCTTCTGCCCCGAAAGATTAATCCCATTGGAAAGATGCGAGTGTTGAAGCAGACTTTTTTTCACAGAAGTGTTGGATGTTTTCTCATGTCCTCTGCATGCAATATTTTTTGTTTCTTTTTTCTGGTACAGAAAAAGATACACATCGTGAATCGTAATTAATAAATCGGACAAACATCCGTAACACGTAGAGAGAGAGAGAGAGAGAGAGAGAGAGAAGACAAATTAAACGTACGGCAATTTGCAAACTTGTAACTAATAGAGTTGCACGTCAAACAGCTCCACAAGGACGAGGACGTTCGACAGGACGCATCCCTGTTGAATACGACAGCTTGGCAGGAATACAGGCTCCTAACGTCCGTCAGCACGCCGGTGTTCGACCGTAAAGGGAATCGCAACAATCGGACAAGAATAGCGAATTTATTAGGTGTGGCAGGCACGGATGTACCAATTGACGACATCCGAAAGCTCACGTTGCCATACAAACTAGGCGTGAATGGATACGCCTTTATCGTGTCCAACAATGGATACGTGATACTGCATCCGGACTTGAGACCCGTTTTCAAAGGCAAATTGAAGCTGAATTACAACAGCATCGACCTCACAGAGGTGGAGATCTTGGACGACGGTCGTGGCCCAAGGTAATTTAATTAAACAGAATTTCCTTTAGATTTTCATATAGACATGTTTCATGTACAGGGTGGAAAGAAAGGTTTGTCCGTGGCTGTCGATGGTCTTGAATTTCAAGGTCAAAATTTTCTTTTTTGCATGGTAAAACACTTCCAAGAAACCATAGGTCGTAACATATTAGTTTTTTTTTTTTTTTTTTAAATGGCAAAAAGGGTTCTTGAATATTTAACACCGCGTGCGTGCTAACAGCGACTTTATACCATGGATGTATATTGCGTACTTTTGCGTATTAGGTTTGTAACATTTGATTTGTTGTAGCTGTAGCATCAGTGTAGTAAGTCTAAATAATTGACTGATAAAACTAACTGTTAACATTATTCGAAATGCAAACATTACATCCACGCGTCCAGAATCATAAAGTCGCTGTTAGAACGCACCCGTTCTGCGGTGTTAAATGATGAAGAAACTTCTGTCATTTTCTAAAAGAACTATTTAGGTCGACGACTTATGGTTCGTTGGAATAGCTTCACCTTCGTGAAACGAGTAGAATACAATGCAAGAAAAAGAAATTTTTTGAGCTTGAAATTCAAGGTCAAGATCAATTTTGCGACAGCCACGGATGAACTTTTTTTCCATGCTGTACAAATATTTATTGTCTCTCGTGAAAGGCACGATTGATCGGCCAGTCACTTTGTGTGGTATTAATTTTCGCTATAAAGAATAAAAAAAAAAGAAAGGGGCGAGGATAAGTTAATCTATTTAAAAAAGTAGACACGAAGAAGACAGATATTGTCACAGAGAGCTTTTATTAAAAACGAGTGCAGAAACCCCGGGCCGGAGGTGTTGGAACTGCGAGCCGCGCTGGTCGACCACAAAAGGGGCAACCTGAAAGGGGTGCCGGTGAAATTGCATTACGACGACAACCGTCGGGTGACACTCGAAAGACGTGACTACTTCTACGCGCCTCTCCCAGGGACGCCGTTCGGCCTTGCGGTCGCTTTGCCCAACTACGGCACAACTTGGATCAAGGTAATCCTCTCGAGATGATATCGTGTGGTACACGCGCATTGCTAGAAGTTCACAGAGTCCCGGCAGTTTCTTGGTTAGTTCCGGGGCGATTCCGATGCCACTCGAGCTCGGGCCCCGCGTTCTCGAGATTGTGGGGCGCATAAAGATCCAGATGGAGATTCAGAGCAAGCGTAAACGGTAAACAGTGACCATCTGCGGAAACAGGCCGATCGAACAGCAAATTAGCTGAATTCGATGAAACTTGTCGTTCGACAGGTTCTAGAAATTCTTTTGTTAACCCTTTGGCTACCGCAGATACTTTGATATGCAGGATTTCAATCAGAGCGACGACCTACACTGAGAACGACGACATCGTCGTCGTGACATTTCTCAGAAAGTATTCTATTGAAATAATTAAAACGCTGAATTGCGCTACGTTAAACCAATATTATTCTACGTTGAATTGTTAGTACGCATACTAAAAATATGACAGTAATTTTAAGCTTTATTTCATATATATCTAATAATCTAATAGTGAGGTATAGTACAAAACATTGTATGGGTTAACATTGTTCCTACGTCACATTTCTTGCATTCGTAGTCGATGTCTTCTTTCTTTTGTTATGTTTTCTACGTACTGTACATTTCCGTCTTTTTCTAATTAATTTATCATTATACCTTTTCAATTTAAAGTTTTCATTAAATGAAATTTCATAAATGAAAATGAACTGTAATCATGTTTAAATAATACATGGCTAACGAAAGATGTAATTGTTAACAATTAGAATTCACATACATACGTCTGATCTAAGTGAAGTTTGCTGCAATTATTGTCAATAACATTTCTGGGTGCCTTCAGTTTGATTCGAGCAACGTGAAGTTGTGTCTCGTTCGCTCTTTTTCGAATCATCCTGTTGTCACCTGTTTCTTTTTTTTTCCTAAAAAGTTAAGATTTTATTTTTTACTAACTCAACCTAATCAAAACGTAACCTAAATAGAAAATTCTATCACTTCATTTTTTTATAAAAAAATCGAAATTTTACTTCTCACTATCTCTAATCTAATTTGCGTCTTTTTGTGATTAATTTATGAAAATTTATTTTGTGAAAATTTTATTTTAACGATATTAAATGAAATAACTGTAAAATAATATATGGCTAACGGAAGATGTAATCGTCAACAATTAGAATTCACATATACGTCTGAAGTTTGCTGCAATTATTGTCAATAACATTTGCCGGGCGCCTTTGGTTTAATTCGAGCAACGTGAAGTGAGCGGCTTCTGTTCCAGGGGACCAAAGTAAATTAAACGTCTATAGTAGTCAAGGGATTAAGAAAGTTCGAAGCCAGATTTATAGCAGAAATATACAACAACTTAGTTGTACTTGCGTTGAACAGTAGTTTATTTTTCCAACTTATAATATTATTAGTTTATTATAAGTAGTGTAAGTATATCTAATATTATATAATATCATAATATTAGATATACTTGTAATATTATAGCATATATTACAATATTATAATATTATAGTATATCATAGTATATCTAATATTATATAATTTTAATATTATAATATTATGTAATAATGTTATAATATTATAATATTACAGTATTATAATATATTACAGTATAAGTGTATCTAATATTATATATCTTAATATTATAATATTATAGTATTATAGTATATTATAGTATAAGTATATCAAATATTATATAATTTTAATATTATAATATTATGTATTATAGTACTATGTATAATATTACAGTATTATAGTATATTACAGTATAAGTGTATCTAATATTATATAATTTTAATATTATAATATTATGTAATAATATTATAACATTATGTAATATTATAATATTATAGTATTATTTTAATATTATAACATTATGTAATATTATAGTATTATAGTATATTATAGTATAAGTATATCTAATATTATATAATTTTAATATTATAATATTATGTATAATATTATACTATTATAGTATATCTAGTATTATATAATTTTAATATTATAATAATGTCATAATATTTTGCAATCATTTTTCTAAAAATTGCACTGCACGCTGTTCAAGGTTGGAGACGAGATCAGAAGGAATCAGAATTTGAACATTAACATCTCCGAGTTCTTCGTGGGCAACAACTGGCGAGTGCACCCCGGTTGGGTGTACTGTCGCTTTCATTATTTAGAGGGCCACGAGTCCGCCAATCCGGAGGAAGAGGTGAGGTACTTTCTGGACTTGTTAAACAAGCCTGGCTGGCGTTGGTCTGAGCAGTACGAGGCCTATCCCCTCAACGAAAACGAAAGCAACTATACCCTCAACTGCGGTAGACAGACTTTGTCGCACGACGATTACTACTGCAACAAGGAGCTGATGCAGCTGTTGGTCTTCGACGCGAAAGCAACGAACGCCAGCTTCAACAGCGACTTTGTGCTGGACGATCAGCGAGCGGAACGCTTGGCAAAAGATTACGGTGTCTTCCTGAGATTTGTCGCGACACAGAGCGGTTTAACCAGGTGGCATTATTTGGACACGAACAAACTACCGGAGGACAGCGACGACATCGTTTTCGGTGACCTTCACAGGAGAGCTGTGAACGAGCCTTGGTACAAGGGTGCCATTTTCCAAAATATTTTGGACCCTAACAGTATATCTCTGTCAGGTGATTGGGAAAGGATTCTTTCCTCCACGAAGTTGTTTAGCTCTTTCTTTCCTTTTTCTCGTCAGTCGTGAAGTTTAAAAAGCAACTTTACTAATTTAACTTCTGAATGATTTCAGTACCCTGGGAAGCAGGGGCCGACGCAACGGTGACAGTGTCGATCGGATTATTCCCAAAGGACGGCGGGAAAACCGCTCCAGCGGCGGTGATTGGTTTTCAGATGCCAATGACGGATCTCTATAGAAAGTTTATTCAGCTAACCTCCGCGCCAGCCAACTCGAGCGACCCGATGAACTGCGCCCACGTTTGGATAGATTGTTACTTGCTCGATCAGAATGGCTTCGTCGTGATATCAGAAGCGCACAACGACACCGGCCAGTTCATGGGAACGCAGGAGGGTGCCGTGATGAATTCCATGGTCAACCAGGGTCTCTACAATCCCGTCGACGTTTACGATTATCAAGCCTGGTGCGAGGAGGTTGTAAGTAAACTTGCTGGTAAACACGACTGGAAACTAGACTGAAACTCCATTCTCACAATGATTCATTTCATAATTCTATTCCGTAAGCTCTCGTACGTAACGAGGTCTAGCAAGGTCTAACACAAAACAAACGTTATTATTCTTCCCCGGACATTCACGATCTTATGACATGTAGTAAACATGAAGCTTTCAAGCTCCGTCGCCGAGCAAAAGCTTGTTAAAAGCTCTGTGTCGCGAGAGAGGCGGAGAGCCGGGTGTGAGAAAGTTCTCTCGAAAGGAAACTCTCGAGAAACAAGTAAAAACAAATAATCGAAAAGTTCGTCGGTGGGGGGCGGGGGAGCTGTCCCGCTCTCCGGCGACGTATTTCTAATTCGCGCGAAGTTTCGCCCCGAAGGAAGAAAAAGTTGCCTCTGTTCGCCGAGCGAATGGACAGCCGCAGCTTGCGGGAAAATCTCGAGAAAGACTCTCGACGACGAGAGGACGAGGAGAACGATCTCACGAGGACGAAACTTTATCCGCAGCGCATCAACGACGCGGCCAGCTCACTGACGGAGCCGCTGATGCACGCCTGGAAACTGTTGCTCTGGTTCCTGCTACGCGTGACGTGGTTCACGACCCAGTTCGTCAACTTGCCAGTCGGTTATGCCAAAGTTCACTTCGACGAGGACGCTCCGGACCCGCCACCACCGCCTCGCCCTTACCTCTATCATTATCCCTGCGATCAGAAACGGGTGCTTTACATGATAAACAACACGATCGCTGGCCAGGGTATCACGAATCATTCGGACTATTGCTCGAGGCCGTTCTACGCCCGTAGGGTCAGTGTCTCTCAGTGTTTCACTCTCTGACATATTGTTGACCGGCAATTTAACGCTATCTCACTAGCTATTTTTTCGCAATTTCGTATGAAAGTGAAACAATCTGAATACACTTCAGCATACATTATTTATACAGGATGAATTTAAACGGAGCTTTGTGTAATTCATATGTATATTATATTTTATACACATAATATGTTTCAGTTGGTTATAATTTTTTTGGCATGATAGATTGTATAGCAATCACGTAGGTGCACAACAGATTTTGCAAGTATGTCTTTTGAAGAGAACGCGTACTCTACACGTTTTAGTTGGACTTTTTTCTTATACCAGTGACTATTTTTTCTAAAATGCGGTATCTTTTAGTTGTCCTGGAAGCCTAATGAAAGCTTGAAAGCCTGAATCAATGTAAGAAGCTCTTTTAAAAGTGCCAGATTCTGTCAGATAAAACGTCTGCGTATAATTCATTGAAAAGTTCCTCACCGTCACGATTGGAATTTTTGTAACACTAGAATTGCGAACGAAAACCTAAATATCAATAAAAAGTAATTTCTTTTTATATAACGAAGCGAACAAGGGTATGCTGTGTTACCCTGAGTGTCAAAAATTAAAACAGCTAGTGAATAATGTGTCAACAATGTGTCAGAATATAAAATAAATGCGCGTGTGTTTGCACGCGTTGAAGGGATTAAATGATTGTGGTAGATTAAAGAGAAGCTTTAAATGTGATTTACAGGTCCCACATACGAATTTGTTATTGGTAGTGGTCGACGCTATATACCCGAGCTGTTACAAAAGATTAGTGGTGACACCGGTGAGAATCTCGCCGCTGGAATACACGAACGGCTCGGAGAGCGCTCCCTGTCATAAAATTCCGCTAAACGACCTTAAAAGGAGGCGCCTGGAGGGCTGTTTCACCGAGCATCCCTTGGAGTACGAGATCGAGAGCTGCGGAGGGGCATCAGGACTGACTGTATCTTTGTTATTGCTCTCTACTGTTGTAGCTAGGATCTTGTATGCATTTGTATAATTGTCCAAAGAAAGAAAGAAACTATACGAATAATATAGCAACGGTAAACGTCAATGCTTATTGTGTCGAACTTTACAACTTCTTATAATAAAGGTCATTGAGGTGAATTGATCTTATAAAAATAATTGATAAAATCAATGATCACTGTAATTTCGAGAAATACTTGTGCAAATTGACAGGCAGACTATCTTTTTATAGGCTAAAGACAATCCAAGGAAATCCAAATTGATCGTAAGGAAGAAAAGAGAGCATAAAGTCTGGCGAAATATCCTTGCCCGTGCAAGATACGATTTCCTGGTGGCGTCGCCAAGTCTGTTGATAGGGAGAGAGGGATCTGTCCTAGAAAATGTTTTGTCCCCTCCCCTTATTCCTGGCTATTCAGATCGCAACTCCCCCGCCAGTTTAATTGTAATTTTCTCCCATCTAGTAAGAAACGCTGCCACAACAGTATATGTCTGTTGAAAGTAGCTGATCAAACAGTTTTTCATCGAGGACAGATGAATCATCCAACAATTCCTGTTGCAGGAAATTCTCCAAATTAACAATTAATTCAACTCGTTGGATTTCTAATCCAACTTCAATTGCTGAACAAAGTTAATCGGAAACAATCAGTTTTTCATCGAGAACAGATTAATCGGCCAACAATTCCTTTTTCTAGAAAAACTTCTCCAACTCGTTGGATTTCCAATTCTCCCACTCCTCGGTCAATTGCTGAACAAGATGAAAAATTCAAGGACAATTCCAGCAGTCTATTTCCCGAAACTCGTTGGATTTCTAATCCTAATTCCTTTCCTGTCGCCGAACGGGATGAAAAATTCAAGGACAATCCCTGTCCAGGTATTTCCTGAAACGACCAATTCAATTCAGCCAGCCAATCGATCGTTCCGATTTAGGCACCTCTGTCGTTTCCTCTCGTTTTCAAGAAAAAGAAAAAGAAAAAAAAAAAAATCCTGAAACGTGAGAAACATCGACGAGGAATTTGAATGTTCCCGTGGAATGCAAAAACCAGATCGGTGCCAGGAGTTCGTAAGCAAGCAAGAGCGCGGAGAAGAGTCAGAGCGGCGGGGTCGATACGAAGAAGAAGCTCGGGGGAGAAAACAAGGGCGGTGGAGTTCGAAGGTGACTTTTTTCCGGGAGACAAACATTACTATCAATTTCGTAAGTACGGTTTATACGGCGCGGCTCGGCGACGCGGCGTCTGGATGGCCGGCGAGCCGCGACGCCTCGTTGCTCGTCGTCGCCGCGCGCAAACTCGCGCTCGACGTTCGAGGGAACGATCGATAAGCCATCGCCAGCCACCGACTCGTCGCGTCGAAAGTCGTACGGTGCGCGCACTGCATGGCGACCACGTCGACGACGACGACGACGACGACGAGCAGCACGACGACGACGACGACGACGACGACAACTGCGGCCGGTCCGGAGTATCCTTAATGTCAGACGCGAGCCTCCTCTCGGCCTCGATTTTGTTTACCGTGCCCTCGCGTAAACAGCGGACCGCCGTGCAACACGAGAGTTATGAGGCCCCGTTTCCTACCAGCTATCGTCATCCTGATCCTGATCGAGGCACCAGACCGTGGTGACAGCATATCGTCCGACAAGTAAGTCGTTCCACGCGAAATCGCCACGTGAGAAGAGATCCGTACCGTTTCATTTTCCATTCTGTTCGTCGTTCTAATCGTTCTCTTTGTACACGCGCTTATTTACACGGCCGATAGGACGGTTAGAATTGAAATTTATCCAGTCCACATGCGCAACCCCCGTGCACGCTGATGCACACGTTTCTCGTTCGATTTGTTGTTGGTGAGAAAATTCTTTGGAGCAAGTTGGAAATTTGTAGAATAGAATTGAAAACGGTGGGTTTCCTGGATTTTTCTTTCATTGGGAAAGTGATTTCCAAGCATCGAAGCACAAAAGGTGGTAGCAGGTGGATGGATCGTTTTCTAATTATTTACAAACATATCGTGGGTATGTCTTTGGAGGTTTGATTTGACGATATATATATATTACATAGTTACGTATCGTAATTCGATTGTTCTTCAATCGTTAACGTTTCGAATACGTACGCGACTTACATAAAGTACGTACACGTTCCCAAGCATAACATTAAGATATACATAGATACAGGACTCGTGCTTGATACAAGAATTTGATTAACTACCAAAGTGGTCAAAATCACCGATTCATAATTATTCGTTAGAAATTTTACGTATTTTTAGATATGTATTTGTTAGAGATTCCCCGCAAAATGTATAAATTGAAGCTTGTATGTTCCATTGTATTGTATTATAATGTTTTCTCCTTTTGACTTCTGTATCAAATGTCTCTAATGGAAATTCGTAGCTTTAGTTCTACTGTTAATCTGTCGACAAATGTGACAAACATTTGTCTAGGAAGAGTGATGCGAATCATTCGACGTTTGTTTTCCTGTACAGAGTGGGAACATGGGCGAAACAGCTGGGATTCGAGCTGTCGCAGTTGGGCAAGTTCGTGACCAACGTGGAGAAGTTCACCGAGAGTTACAAACAGGCAGCGGTGAAGCCACGTGATGGTACTTATCTAGTCCACGAGATCGCTAAAGACATCAAGGCCATGATGGAATCTAAAATATCAGCTATCAAGGTACGTGCATACACCTGTTAATTTCAATTATTCAAATTTCTTAATAAAAACTCTTTCAACGCGAGTAATCTGTCCTGATGTATTTTAATATGTAACGTGTAACAATTATAAGAATTCCAATAGTTTCTATGTTTTATAACAATATAATTAAAAATTATATTTCAAATGTTATGATGCAATATAATATAATAATGTTCAAAGTTTCATAACAATATAATATAATTAAAAATTATGTTTCGAGTTTTATAATTTATAATGTGATATAATAATGTTCCAAGCTTTGTAATAATATAATATAATTAAATTCCAAGAGTTTCTAAATTTTATAACAATACAATTAAGTTTCCAAGTTTCATAACAATATAATTAAAAATTATGTTTTGAGTTTTACAATTTGTAACGTGATATAATAATGTTCCAAGCTTTGTAATAATATAATATAATTAAATTCCAAGAGTTTCTAAGTTTTATAACAATACAATTAAGTTTCCAAGTTTCACAACAATATAATTAAAAATTATGTTTTGAGTTTTACAATTTGTAATGTGATATAATAATGTTCCAAGCTTTGTAATAATATAATATAATTAAATTCCAAGAGTTTCTAAATTTTATAACAATACAATTAAGTTTCCAAGTTTCATAACAATATAATTAAAAATTATGTTTTGAATTTTACAATTTGTAATGTAATAATGTTCCAAGCTTTATAATAATATAATTAAATTCCAGCAGTTTCTAAGTTTTATAACAATACAATTAAGTTTCCAAGTTTCATAACAATATAATAAAAATTATGTTTTGAGTTTTACAATTTGCAATATGATATAATAATGTTCCAAGCTTTATAATAATATAATATAATTAAATTCCAAGAGTTTCTAAGTTTTATAAAAATACAATTAAGTTTCCAAGTTTCATAACAATATAATATAATAAAAAATTATGTTTCAAGTTTTACAATTTGTAATGTGATATAATAATGTTCCAAGCTTTATAATAATATAATTAAATTCCAGCAGTTTCTAAGTTTTATAACAATACAATTAAGTTTCCAAGTTTCATAACAATATAATAAAAATTATGTTTTGAGTTTTACAATTTGCAATATGATATAATAATGTTCCAAGCTTTGTAATAATATAATATAATTAAATTCCAACAGTTTCTAAGTTTTATAACAATACAATTAAGTTTCCAAGTTTCACAACAATATAATTAAAAATTATGTTTTGAGTTTTACAATTTGTAACGTGATATAATAATGTTCCAAGCTTTGTAATAATATAATATAATTAAATTCCAAGAGTTTCTAAGTTTTATAACAATACAATTAAGTTTCCAAGTTTCACAACAATATAATTAAAAATTATGTTTTGAGTTTTACA